ATGTTTCACGGTGCTAGTTTTAATTCAGAAACTAAAATGTTAGACAGTTAAGAAAAGATTATACTGCTTATTTTGCATTGTTTGTTGCTGTTAATACTGCTAATTTTGTTATACTAGGCTTATGTTGGTTTACTGTTTACTTGCCCCTTGCATGGGGATATATATGTGCACATTTAGAGCCGATGTACCAGACTCAAATTCCTCGTGTGTCCGACACACCTGGCCAATAAAGCAGATTCTGATTCTGAAGATCTGACAAGACAAGATGTGATAAGACAAGATGAGACATACTGAAGCAGAAAACCCAAATATGTCAAACAGCTCAAAAACAAAGTTGGATACAGATCTCAAAAGAAGTGTAGTACCACACAGGCCTATTGTGGATCTTTGGTAGTTCTCTTCTGTTCAGTGGGTGAGCCATTAAACGACACTTATCATTGGTTTAACCCTGAAACTAAGGGAGTGTGTTTTAACTGGCCAAAACAATCAAACAATGAATATGTTTTTGAATTTCCTTCCCTCAGACCCATGTGATCCACAGATCTTCAAGACTTGTTTTGTCTTGAATTGAGAAGGCTGGTGAGCAGTAGTGGAGGCGTTGACGGTGAATGGCGGCACTGCTTGTGACATCACAGGAGATATAGCTGGAGGTGAAATATTAAATAATATGAATGTTCTTTAAGCATTATCAGCTCTCTGGGTTGCCTCTGTGCAGACAGCTCAGCTCTAAATGGGGCATACGGGTAGGAGCTGGTGCCTTTTTCGTGCATAAAATCTGGGTTAGGTAGAGCACATTAGTGTAGTGTGTCAGGGCCTGTGGCATATCAGAGTCCTGGCTAGTTCCCCCCTCCCCCCTTTTTTTTGACAGACAGTGAGTGAGAAACATTAATGCACAGTCATGGCTACAGTTGCCTCACTCACATGTGAATGCAGTAAGTGAGGGTATACACTACATGCACACACACAGAAACACAAACTCTGCAATTATCTCACAGACCATCCAGTCTGGCACTCAGATGCACTTTCCCTGCACTGATGCGCACACACCTCTTCCCATTGTGTGTCTTGCATTGTGCCGTCTCTCTCTCTCTCCTTTGGCAGATGTGGCCATTGGATCAGCCACTAACAAATTCCTCTCCTCTGGTCTGTGGGCACAGGGAAGCTGAGCTGGAGCAGTTCAGGCACCTGTTGCAGTAAAGAGAGTGCACAGCAGACCAGGCGTAACTGAAATGCTTGTTTACATGATATCCAGTTATTGGCTTGAAGGCTGCAGCTGACAGAATTACTGCTCAGACAGAATGCAGGGAGGATAAAAACAAAAACAAGATGATCCTCTGCACGGTGTTACAGCAGACTGAGCTGTCTGCCAGGGGTGCTCACTTTCTGTCACGCTTGTCGCTGCTACCTTCCCAGAGATATCTCAAAACAAAAATCGATCACGCTCTATGGATAGTTTGTATATTGTGCTAATAAAAAGATAACATTTCTTAAACTGGCAATTCGGATGTTTTAGGTTAATATCTAATTACTACTTGCTTTTTATAGCCTCTGAATTGTCTAAATATATTACAAATTAAGATAGAACGGAATCCTTGATTGATGCAGTAACTAATGTGACATGGTGTGTAAAGTAAGTGACTTTAATTGTACATGCAGTGGATTCTAAGACACCTTAGGAATAGGAAACGTTAATACTTCTATAGAATTCTACAACCATGTTTTTGAATGAGGCACATATGTTTTGACAGGAGATAACAGTTTGACTCACTGTGCATGTTTTTGCTTTGGATGCATGAATTGAAATAATGTTGAGAATGAACCTTTTGGAGCAAACACATGGAAGAGCTCCCCCAGATGTATCTTCACAACAGCTGTAAGCACAAGAGTGTTACTAGCAGAATGAACATGGACCTCTCCACCTCGTCCACCTCTCTCTGAACAACAGGCCTTTGTCACAGCAGACGTTTTGACAAAGCGCATGTGTTTGTAATGTCAGTTGTGTGACAATAAGTCAGCACGAACACTCCCAGGATCCTGAAACAGAAGCAGCTAAATGGAACTCAACCATCATTCAGTTTATTTACACCTGTGGTTTTCCTGCTGGGACAAGTTGAAATGTCTGTTGTGAAAAAGAACTATTGACCTTTGTGAGTGTTGACCCCTGAAGGTAACCAGTAAATAATAATTTACCAGAACAAACCTTAACACAATGTTCTTTTTCTAGATTGTTCTTGAGGCTTCAGTCTTCTGATCTACGCGGAATGCTATTGAACTATTAAAAACTCCAGAAACAGCCAGTAAGTTGACTTTTTTTTTAATCTAAATTGAACTTTCACTATTCAGTGTATTAACTGTTAATGAACTAAAGAAGTTATTGTCCAAAGCTGTCAGAATTCCTCTGATTAGAGGCTTCTAAATACTAAACTGAGCTTATAGTCAGTCATAAGTCATTTTCCTGTTCTTCACACACTTGCTTTGTTGCTGCTTTAATTTTTCTTACAGTAAATACATGCAGTGACAGTTGTTGAATGCATTAAAACTAAGATTCTAGAAATAGCCAAACTACACAAATCTTTATTTCTGTATAAAAATCTTTCATCAGGATGCAGATGTTTCAATACAGTGCAGCTCATTTTTCCTGCTTTTACATACAGCGGTGCCACACTTTCTCCTAACCACTTTCCTCATGAGGTTAGTATGTGAGAGGCAAATCAAAAATTCCTTTTGTCATAACAGAAGTGCCCCTGAGCAGCCACTGAGGGCTGGCTGGGGTCTAGGGATTCCCATGGCCTTACTGCCATCCAGCCGACACAGGCCGCTGCTTATCAGTGGCTGATTTTACAGTACATGTGCAGAAAATCACCCCAGTTCCTTTTTAAACCTGTGTATCAGAGCTGGATTGTGCGCTGCCACATATTTAATATGGTGCTTTATAAAGGAGGAAATGTAGTTTGCATATTCTGAATTGTTTCCATCCCCACCACAAGTAGTTAATTTTTAAGCAATACAATCTGATGTAAGTCTGGGCATGGCTGCGGCAGATTTTCCCAACCCCCCTCTCTCAATCCCTCCCCAGCACTCTCACTCTCACACACACACACACACACACACACACACACACTCTCTCTCTCTCTCTCTCACACTCACTCACTCACACACACACACACACACACACACTCACACACACACAATACTGCTGCTGGTCCAAAATAATTTTTTATACAACGGTGGGGGCTCCGGAGAATATAAGGTGGCCATATTTGATAGATTTGTGTCGGGCTCTGCAATGCAGAAAGCGAGAGTTGTAGCGTGTGATCCCGCCAGTGACAGTGACACCAGGCAGGTCTGTCGGATTCGTGACTGATCCGGACTTGGAGACAGAAGGGGGAGAGAAAAGAGAGGGAGGGGGGGCAGACAGAAAAGAAACAAACAAGTAACAATGTAACTTACATGCAGCCACACACCCCTTTTTCTTGTAACAATGTGTACGTTTTTGTGGAGGGAGGGGGCGCGCAGAGGGAGAACGAGAGACGGAGAGAGAGAGAGAAAGGAGGAGGGGGGTGCGTTCTGAAATAATATAGTCAGCCATTTTTTATGTAAGGGGATTTTTTCTTATTGGGGGGGTTGTTAAAAAATAAATATAAGAGGGCGGCCATCTTTGTTGCTCTGCCTAGTGTAAAATATTCCAAAACGCCCCCCACTTTTTGTGCCGATTTGAATATTAAATAAATATCATATATACGGGCAAGAATACGCTTTTTGAATACAAGGACGGATCCAATGACAGGAATATAATGTCCTCTCCTCTCCGGTCCTGTGAGGAAGACGAGGGCATGGTGGTTAATTCCGAGGGAGGAGATTTTGATGAAGACGACGACGACGACGACGGAGACCTAGACGAGAACGCAAGCGACATAAACTCGCCGGCGGCGCCTCGGGAAACTGCAACACCAGCCGCGCCAGGTACAGTAAGAAAACTGGCGGACAAGTCGGGAGCGCGCACACGAAACAAAAACACCCTTACTAGAACAGAAATGTCAGAGAAAGGGGCTTGATACAGGCAGGCGATGCGGTAGTTTGTGCCCCATTGTGCAGGTCCACCGCGATACAGTAGAGCCCAGCGAGGACGCGGGGGCGCGCGTACAAAATGGAAACACTGGCTACTTAGCAGTGCTGTTTTTTTTTTCTATAATTGTTCCACAAACTAAAGCTGATGTATATTCTCCGGTTAGTGGACCTATATGTTGCTCCAGGTGGCATTTCTGGAGCTCCAAGACGGGCTGCTTAAAAAAAAAAAAAGACGAGAACGCGCTTTGCAAACAGAAACTCCAGAGCAGTTTGTAACAAAATGCACAAAACCCCAGCCCTCCAGATGTGTTTCAGTGTTGCTACCTGTGCTCATTTCCCCTACTCCACTTCCTCTTCACCTCCAGCACATCCCAACAAAGTTTACGATAACTTGTGACACGGCCGGTTTCCGTCCCCACCTTCAAAAGTTACAGCTTGGTTTGTCCTTTAAATCCAGCGGACATGTCCTACACATGTAAACGGTCTGCAGGGTAATAAAGTGGTTCAAAGGGTACAAATGCTTGTGGCAACAAAAGCTGGCGAAAACAAGGACACCTCTGGCCGGAGGCTAAATATATTTGATACCCATGTAGAGAGGAGATGATGCTGAAACCCTGGTCGCTGACAGGTCAAAAGAGGACACAGGTGTGACTGTGCACACCTGCTCACTCGTTACCAGACTGACATTCTATTAAACATTGCCTCAGGTATTTATATCCAACAAAACTATGAGTTGCTCCTCTCAGCACCAGTGTAGTGATCTTGTCAAAAGACTGAATACCTGTGACATTCTGGAAGTTTCTGTGTGACAGTTCAAGTTGCTCGGGGTCGCGGCGTTGAATTAACGGTGCAGAAAGTAGCGTCTGGTTAACGCACTGCTGAAGTACAAATCAGAATGAGCTGTGCCTGCACTTTACTCATGACTTCAAATGTATATTTAAGTGCGATGCGATGCAGACGTGATAGACAAACTTAAAGGTCACTGTTGGTCTTTGGCTCTTGTTACCATTGCTGACTCTGAGAGACGAGACAGTCCAAGTAACTTCAAAACAGTGCTGATTTATTCAAAGGATCACAGGTAAAATTAACATTACACACTCAGGTATTTTGCACCTCCAAACTGCATGTAGGCAGATGTAAGATGAAAGACCCTGAGCATTTAACAGTCTAACTAGACATCCTATCTCCACTAAACATTTCTAATACTTAAAGTATCTATCCAATTTCTATCTGACTAAAAATACCTAACATCACCAATCAAATGTTGTTAGAGAGAAGCAATGGCATAACTCTGGGTACACGTGATTTCCTCAGTGAATATTAGAGGAATCGGCCATTTCTTTGTCTTTAGACCTAATTATCTCGACTTCAGAGCGGCTGCCATGTGGTGCCAGACAGATAAACGAGTGTCAGGCTTCCCGTTGAGGACCTTAACCCCCTCACGACCTCTAGCAGCGGTGGTCCCGGTGTGGGAATTGCAGAGGGGAAGAAGTCGTCTCAGTTCAGCGCACCATCCCGCAGGCGGCCTCTGCATCACCGAGCCCTGCGTGCAGCGTGCAGCCGCCCCCGGCGTGTCCTCGGCGGCTGGCCGATGCTCGCCAAAGCGGAAACGGGGCTGGTGGATGGTGGTGGGAGTGAAGCGGGGGGGCTGTTGCTCCTGCTGGTGGGAGCGCGCATCAACAAAGACAGGCAGACAATAAACTCGGACAAAATGTAGCCGACCAAACAGGCTGGTTTCACGGCACAGACCGCAGCCCATGTTTTGGTTATGCTTTAATGCTTTGCTGCACTTTGTCAGAAGCTCAGGCTGCAGTTGTCCCCCTGGGGCTTTCTCTCATTTTTAGTTCATGGCAGGTTAGATTGCCTTCCCTGTAGTCGTTATGTTGCTGCCCTGATCATTTGATCCCTGAAAGCAGGCGATGCTGTGTGTTTTAGGTGGCTGCAAGTCTTCTGCAGTTTTTAAATTGTTTGCATGTCTACTCTTTATATCCCTTAAATGGAAGTTTTTCCAAATATAACTGCTAGATTTTATATTGTTTTTACACACCTGAGCCTAAGCAAAAACCACCAAAGGTATTTTGTTTGCAAATGTGCTGTCACATAAACTAATTTTCCCCAAGCTCTGGAGCCGCCGACACCAGCTGGCAAATCTACTAGAGCCACTGACAAACTATCTAATTTAGCACATGTTCAGACAAGGTCAGAGGTCACTGAAGCCACAGTAGATATCATGCAGCTTTTTGCATGTTCAGCGGGGATTACCTTGTTGGGAAGCGTTTTGAGAAGTTTCATTCATCTGCTTCTGATAGCTGTCTTTCCTTCATGCTGTCTTTAACGCTGTCTCTGCTCTGATATTCTTCCTAGATGAAGAGGCAGGGATATCAGACAGAGAGGTCCCGTGCAGGAAGAAAGGTCGGCCGAAGAAAAAGAAGGACACAAAGAAGAAAGAAAAGGAAGGGAAGCCCGTGAAAGCAAAAAAACGCAAGAAGATTGTACGTTTGTTAAACTGTCACGCTCTGGATTTTACACTTTGCTGACTATGTTACGCCGTCTTCATTATTATTCAATAGCTTCCTCTCTCCATTTCCTCTTCAGGACAGTGATGTAGAGAGAGACTCAGATAGAGAAAGAGACTACGGCGAGAACTCAGACAGCATAACCAGTGAATATGGAACTGGGGAGAAAAAGAAAAAGAAGAAACATAAAGAAAGGAAGGAGAAGAAAACAAAGAAGAAGAAAAAAGACGATGGGGACCGAGACAGCAGTCAGGAGGAAACAACAAAGGTAAAGAATGGTCTCCGTGAACATAACTGATATAAAACCGCTCTGACAAGTGATCGATGATCTCTCTCATCTGATTGGTGGTTTCTCCTCAGCAACCAATAGAGCAGAAGACCTCAGCCCAGCTGGCGAAGGAGTGGGGTCTGGAGGATGTTGATCATACCTTCACAGAGGAAGACTACAGGGAACTCACCAACTATAAAGCCTTCAGCCAGTTCATGAGGTGTCGTATTACTCTCCCCTATTCATGTGGCCTGCTCCTGGCTGTAGTGGTGACATGCGAACATCACATACGATGTTTTCCAATTTGCCATGAGTACTGTTGCCGTTTTTGTTAGTGGCTACATGAGAAATTTAGAGCAAGTCCACTGGCTAATTAAGAAAGCACAGTTTGTGTGAGGCAGTTTGCATCTTATGTCTATTGCCAGGAAGTACCCGATGAGGCTGACAACATCCTTATCCTTTTCCAAAAGCTTTGTTTTCTCAGTCCGCACTAAAATATTTGGTCTTCATTTTAAGATTTTTTCTACTGTGCTTACTGTTTTCAAAAAGCTCAGTTTTTCAGAATCACTGGCTTGGCGTAAATGTGCTGTTGAGACTTGATTCATGCAGGTGGGTGACAGATCAGAGGAAAAACCAACAGTGTGTCAGTAAGGTGTTGGGGCACCAGATGCCACCAGAACAACTTCAGTGTACATTGATTCTCCAAGTCCCTGAACTCCACTGGAGGGATGAATGTTTTGATGGTGGTGGTGGAGACGCTGTCTAACATCAGATCTGGTGACTGTGGAGGCTGTAGTAAATGACTCACATCGCAGCAGTCGGCCTACGCCGCTGCTAGTTCTTTCACGTCGGCTTGGTGTGTCTCTGCCCTAACATGAAATCTCTAACTGTTCTGGTAGCCACTCTGTTTTCATTTCTTCTGCATTGGGTACAGGGGCTCTCTTGTTTCTCTTTGTGAGGGTTCTTTGTTTCTCTTTGTTTATGTAAAGTTTCTAGTTGTCTACACTGGCAAGTGTATGGTGAAACTACCAGTAGCATATGAACACAGACACAGGTGGCACTGGATGGAAAAAAAAGCAGAAGCACTATTACTGTCCTCTGTTTTCCTCTGGCAGCTGCGTCTTTATCATCCCTGCTGGTTGTACTATGCAGGCAGCAGTTTTGACAGCGTGCCAGTGGCAGCCTGAGGCTTTGCCTCTGTGGCTGACTCATACCTGCTTTAACTTTGATGGCATGAAGTAATACATAATACCCAATGCATGTGTATGTTGGGGAGTTATCTAGTTGTCAGATTTAGCTTCTCAACTCCACTGGCAGACTGAGTCGTAGAAGAAAACTAAACTCTTCTCAGCAAAACTGATCCGCCAAGTGATTACAGCCATATCAGCTTACTTTATGTGCAGAACATTCATATGATTAATACATATGAATCAGCAAAACAAACGCCATTATTAGTTAGCAAAGAATGCTGAAAAGCTATTAAGCCATAGCTGTTAGAATTAGGTGAATGTTTGTTGAGATTTCCGCTCTTTGCCTGTATGGTTTTTGTCTTAAAACATTTAAATGACCCTCTTGCTCCCAGGCCGATGATAGCCAAGAAGAATCCTAAGATCCCCATGTCAAAGATGATGACCATCCTAGGGGCCAAGTGGAGGGAGTTCAGCTCAAACAACCCCTTCAAGGGCAATGCTGCTGCTGTTGCAGCAGCTGCTGCAGCGCCATCGCTGTCGCCGAGCAGGTCTCTGCAGCGACCGCCTCACCTGAACCGCCACCACAGCCGCCACCTATTAGAAAGGCCAAGACAAAAGAAGGCAAAGGTCAGTGGTCAGATTTAGGCTTGTGGCCTTCAATACCTTGTACACTTTTAGCTTTTGCTTTCATTTCGGAGAAGAAGACACATCAACAGTAACAGGGAACTGTTGTTTACATATATTGTGGTTGAATTGCTAATATAAGGGGCAAAATATATGGGGCAAAACTGGGAACCAGTTTACAGGGAGGATGACTTAGATAAAGCATATGAGCAATTTTTAAACATATTTAAGAAAGTATATGACAGGAACTGTCCTCGTAAGCAGTATAAAAATAAAAGGAATTACAGTGGGAGACCGTGGATGAGCAAGGGATTACAGAATGCATGTAAAAAGAAGAATGTGTTATATAAGGAATTCATAAAGGACAGATCAAAGAAGGCGGAAGAAAAATATGTCATATAAGAACAAATTAATTGAGATTTTGAGGAGATGTAAGAAACTATATTACTCTAAAATATTAGAGGATAATAAAAATAATATGAGAGGTACTTGGAATATATTAAATAAATTGATTAGAAACAGTTCCAGCAAGAGTAACTACCCTCAATATTTTATGGATAATGATACACCGGTCAATAGATTGGAGGATGTAGTAGATAAGTTTAATAGGTTCTTTGTGAATGTTGGTCCTGGTTTAGCAAGAAGCATTTGTACAGATGATACATCCGTCACTATAAATAATAATACAATCGAAAGGAACATGAGTTCTATGTTTTTGAAGCCCATAGTTGAAAAGGAAATTATAGAGATAGTGAATAAATGTGGTAACAAAACATCTAGTGATAGTGATGGTATCACTATGACAACTGTTAAATGGGTAATTGAGGGGATATGCAAACCATTAACCCATATTTTTAACATGTCGTTTCGACTTGGGCAGTTCCCCAATAATATGAAAATAGCAAAGGTTATTCCACTGTATAAATCTGGTGATAAGCACAACTTCACAAATTATAGACCGATTTCTCTGTTGTCACAATTTTCAAAAATCTTGGAAAAACTCTTTAATAACAGATTAGATACATTCATTGAAAAAATAAAATCCTCTCTGATTGCCAATAAGGTTTTAGGTCGAACCGATCGACATCTTTGGCCATTACCGACCTGATGGAGGACATTACAAGTGCTATGGATGAGAAAAAAATATATGATGGGAATATTTATTGACCTAAAAAAAGCATTTGACAAAATCAATCATGAATTATTAATGGATAAGTTAGAAAAATATGGGATCAGAGGATTGGTTTTGAATTGGATTAGAAGTTATTTGACACAGAGGCGTCAATTTGTGAAGTTGGGTGAATACCAATCGAGTGAGCTGGACATTGTATGTGGAGTGCCTCAGGGTTCTGTTAAGGGAACCTAAATTATTTATATTATACATTAACAATATATGTAAGGTTTCTGATTTAGTGAAAGTGGTTTTATTTGCTGATGACACTACCATATGGGCATCGGGTGAAAACCTACAGCAAAATTTTGGACGGGTTTCACAGGAACTTGAGAAGATAAAGAAATGGTGTGATAGTAATATACTATCTCTGAATTTGGATAAAACTAAATTTATGGTATTTGGGAATCGTAAACTAAATAATAAACTTCAATTGAAAATTGGGGGAGCTAAAGATTGTGTATTTCCATAAGTGGGGTAAAACTATGGAATAATTTAAGCGCGGACATAAAAAATAGTAATAGAATTGACAAGTTTAAACATAAATATAAAGGTATGTGTCAATCAAGATATAAGCAAGAACAGGCTTAATGATTAATTAGATGGAACATTGTGGGTGTGGTGTATGAATGTTAATACTCTGTAATAATTCTTTAATATATTACTTGTGTGGTGTAGAACAAAATTATCTATGTAGAGACACTGCTTGCAAACCAATGATGGTAAGATGATGTCAGGGGGTAGGACTGGATAAGTCTGACTTCTTCCTACTCCATTCAGAGTTTAAATATAAATATAAATGTATGTGTCATACAAGATATATGCAAGAATAAGATTTATTCGAGAAGGCATTATGGAAACACTCTGTTTTAATTTTCTGTGTATTACTTGTTGGTGAAGAAGATAATTACCTATGTAGAGATACTGCTTGCAGCCAATAATGCATGAAATTTTTTGTATAAGATGATGTTCTGGGGTAGGACTGGATAAGTCTGACTTCTTCCTACTCCATTCAAGCATGTACTAGGTATAAGCAAACTGATTCTGGATTAGCATCGGTTGGATTTGTGTAAATATATGTATGATGTCATTTGTTCTGCATGCTTGAAAGAATAAATCAAATCAAATCAAATCAAATTAAGACAACATACTAAGTGTATAAACACCTTATTTAATTATAGTCCTTTGCTAATACATCCTTTGTCATTCTTTTTTGTCACACGTTGCATATGATCTGTCCAGGTCCAGGCTATAAGAAGCGCAGTAAAAGTCCTCGAGTCCCAGACAAGAAAAAGGCTCTTGCAAAGGCTAAAAAGATGGCACCCATTCGTATTAAGCTGTCACCTATAGGTGCCAAGAGGAAGAAGAGCTGCTCAGTGAGTATAAAGTTTATCAGGTGCTGACAAGAATAGAAGGAGATAAATAAATTGCACTGGTTTTTTCTTTCACTTCTTGCCTCATCACTTTCTTGATCTGTGTCAGAGCGAGGATATGGATGAGGATGAGTCTGAGCAGGAGGACTCCAGCGTTCACAGCTCCTCGGTTCGCTCTGACAGCTCTGGCCGCGTCAAGAAAAACAAGCGAGGGCGGCCTTCGAAGAAGAAGAAGAAAAGTAAGACAAAACCTGCTTGTACAGCACATCATTATAAGTGATATATATCCATAATGCCGACCAACTCTGAGTTTAATTTCAGACAATGGAAAATTAAATGCTACTAGTTGATTCAGTTCAGCTGTTGTTTAGGAATATTTAGTCCATTTTCTTCCAGTTCATGCACTTATCTGCTCTGATTGTGTGTTGGAGTTTGATCACTGCCAAAACACGGGTGATCTACAACTCAGTACTGTGCCTGAACGCATCACACCCATGATCTGGCAGCAGTCAGAGCCCAACACAGACTGTAGCATGTCAGTTAGCCTTCGCAACGTGATCACGCCACACTGTAAAGAGATTAGCTTTAGTACATTGTACATTGAAAATCTGGACTTGAGTAGGACTCAAGTCTGAGTCCTGGAACCAAGTACTACAACACCGGGCTTGATAATGACTGATGAAGAAAGAGTGATGCAGAGGGTAGAGTGTTTTGTCTTTCCTGGGTCTGGAAGATTGTCGGTGGATGAGATGATGGTGATTTTTAAAGTAGCTTTTGGGATTCCTCCACGTTATGGCTCTTAATTACAAGATTACAGCTGCAGTCAAAAAGGCAGTGTTACTTGTCATGTAAATGGCTGTAGAAAGTGATTGGATGCTTATTTACATAATGCTTGCAAAGTGGCAGAAACTGCCTTGTCTGACTTGTTGGCTTCATCATCACTAGACTCTTGAGAGATGTTTGTATTCACATAAAAATACTGCTGATTTTCAGCATCATTTTTTTCAGTTTGAGTTATTTTTAAAAGTAAAAAGCCCTTTTAGACATATGCGAGTTATTTGTGTCTCATATCCATCTGTGCTTGTCAACGTGCCATTCCCTGCCCCCCCCCCAGTTGTAGGTGAAGACGAAGGGGACGGCTATGAGACAGATCATCAGGACTACTGCGAGGTGTGTCAGCAGGGCGGAGAGATCATCCTGTGTGACACTTGTCCCCGAGCTTACCATCTCGTCTGCCTCGAGCCCGAGCTGGACAAGGCCCCTGAGGGCAAGTGGAGCTGCCCACACTGCGTGAGTACAGCTGCACAAGTCTAATCCTGCTCTCTAGCAACCACCGTGTTCTGCATTGATGATGTATTTTCCTCAAACGTCACTGTCAGAGATGCATCAGGAGGCAGTAGTGTTTGCGCTACAAAAGATATGATAAGATATATATTTTCACTGATTGCATCACAACACGTCTTGGTGGTTGTTTACACTTGTATTTTGTGTCGTCCACTTGTTATCTGATCGGCCAGGATGTATTTTAAAACCAAGTTTAAATGGGGTGACAGTCAGGCCTTTGTTAATGTACATGTGTACATGTACATGTGCTGGCAAAATAGTAACATAGAGTAACTATTATAATCTTTGTTTTGGCTTTATCATTTCATAGGTTTGACAGTAAAGAACCCCTGCTAAAACAAGTAGATAGCAGTCCAAGGCCTTGTGAAATTTGTAGTGATTATTCATGAATGTAAACCTACTATCAGGTGTTGATGTTGTTGCTAAATGTGCACTATCTTTAACTGTATCACCAAATCTACACCGTGCAAGTTGCCTTTTCCTGCATGAGACAATTTCCCCTTTTGCTTAGTTTATTTTGAACATTTCACTAATCCTAACAAATGGTAAACTTGCAATATACCGACCTAAGTTCTCCTGCCTTTTGACTGTTTCTGTGAGCTACAGTTACTCAAAGCCAAAGAAAATGTCTTTTTATTAAAGCGGGTATTTTAGGTTTCATTCACTTGAAATATTCAGGACTCACATTTGATTTGAATGATGTAAATGTTTCTCTGTTCCTTCCCAGGAAAAAGAGGGAATCCAGTGGGAGGCGAAAGACGAAGACTTTGAGGACTTTGAGGAGGACAGTGAGGACAGAGTGATATCTGAGGTCGGGGGTGGGATGTCCACTGGGGCGGATGAGGAGGACGATGACCACATGGAGTTCTGTCGGGTGTGCAAAGACGGAGGTGAACTATTGTGCTGCGACACCTGCACCTCCTCCTACCACATCCACTGTCTAAACCCACCGCTGCCAGAAATCCCCAACGGAGAGTGGCTGTGCCCGCGGTGCATGGTTAGTTACTCTCCTGTTGTGTTCTTTTACTGCCGTATGTGTGTGATTTAGGACTATGTGCACTCCCTTCACCTACTTGAATTGTTTTATTGCTCATATTGCTTTACAGGCCTACAAATTTAGGATATGAGTCACTTAGAGCTACACTACCAGTCACACTTCCCCCTTCTGACTGGTAGTGTATGATGGAGGTGGATTGCATCTGTGTCATTGTATATAAATAGGACTAATGGGGCATCTATGGCATATTATTACAAAGCATGACTTGAAACTGTTGTTCAAATATTAAGAAAATACTGTTACACGATGCTCATTTTCAGCCAAAATGTCATTGACCCATTTAGACTTGGTTTTAAAATGTTTCTTGGGCCATCGAATCACCAGTGGACAGCGCCAAATACACATGTAAACAACCACGGAGATGGATTGTGATCCGATCACTGAAACCACTTGCCAAGGTGCTCTGTGATGTATTTGACCACATATCGTTTGGAGTGTAAACGCTAATGCATCCTGATGTGTCTCTGACAAGGACTTTTAAGGAAAATGGCCATCAGTGCAGGAAGTGGCGGTTGCTTTGGTAAAAACGTGCTAATGCTAAAAAAAATGAAAACATGGAGAGAAGCATCTGATGCGAATCCATCAGGGTATTATAAAAGCTTTCATAATGCATCAGTGTACAAATCTGAGGCTTGTCTTGTTCTTCGGTTAGGAAGACTACTGGCGTTTGTCTGGTCACAGACTGATGTAATAATTGTACCTGTGGCTTTGCAGACATGTCGCAGTAGTGAAATCTGAACACTAGTGGTCAGCGGGGCACAGTGGAGATGCCTGTATTTTAACAGGTGTTAACAGTGATATGTCTCGGCTGTCCTCTTGTGATGGGATCAATGAGATGCATTTTATTACCAAGTCTAAATGGGGCCTTTAAAACCCCTTAATGTTGCATCTCATTTGGAGAACCATGTGTAACATCACATCACTCTGCGAGGCTTTAACTTTCACATATCAGTCTGAAAAGGCAGCTTCAGTTGATTACACTTTTCAAGACTAAATCTGTTCCTTTCTGGTGCAAATGGAGTTTGTTCTGACTGAGGCAAAATGCTCCCGGATGGATAACAAATCTCTCCTTGCTTGTTGAAATAAACAACCATATGTAGATCCGATTGGTAATTGTAATCCCGCTGTAGTGTCCACCAATCAAAGGACGTGTTCAGAAAATCCTCCACTGGCGATGGGGGGAACCTCCACTTCCCATTCCTGTGCCCCCTGCTCCTGACGCTCCACCTGATGCCCCGCCGCCGCCACCCATGAAGGGCAGAGCTGAGAAGGAGTTTTTTGTCAAATTGGTTGGACAGTCCTACTGGCACTGTACCTGGATCACTGAGCTGCAGGTGAGAGCAGCTTAGTGATGCATATAAAGTGAAATGCATTCTACTTCTAGTAAATGCCTTCAACTAATCTTTTTCTTCCCTCATTCCTCCAGCTGGAGATCTTCCACTCTGTGATGTACAGGAATTACCAGAGGAAGACAGACATGGACGAGCCTCCCAGTTTGGATTACGGCTCAGGTGGAGAGGATGAGGAGGGAGTAGAGGAGGGCCAAGGTCCCCCAGTACGCCATCATGTAATACAAGTACTACAAGTATGGCATCAAGCCTGAGTGGATGATGATCCACCGCATCATCAACCACAGGTAAGGGACTGTGTTTGTTGTTATTTATAGCACAAGAACATAATCTGTGTGCTTACTTTCTGTATGTGTTCCCATCAGTGTGGACAAGAAGGGGATATACCACTATCTGGTCAAATGGAGAGACCTGACCTACGACCAGTGTACCTGGGAGAGAGATGACCTAGAGATTCCAGACTTTGCCATTTATAAGGCCAGCTACTGGAGACACAGGTCTGCTGGGAACATATTAACTCACTGGCTTTAATGTGGAAAAGCAAATCAGCTTTGACTGCAACAAGAAAGAGCTGTACTCAAAAGCTGTTTGGTCAGAATATAAAAAAAATACTACAGCAAGCTAGTATGCTACAACAGTTAAAATAGCTGTAGTTATGCTGTTGTTTCAAGAATGTTTTATTGGGTTTGTGGTTTAGCAGTGGACCTGAGAGCATCCAAAGGTATGGAAACCTACTGTGGGTTAATGAGTAGTTCAAATAATTTACAATACTCTGCCCATATACACATTTATTACTCACATTTACTTGTTTGGCTGATTAATGTATTGACTTGGCGAAAACCTTCTATTTGTCAGGGATGCGATAATGAAAGAGGACCCAGACAAACCCAGGAAGATAAGGAACAAGAACCAGGAGGGTGAGGAGGAGTCTCCTGCCTCACCAGTCACAGATGTGAGTTGGCTCTGCTTTTCATTTCAGTCAGCGTTGGAGTCGAGTGTCTAAAATTCAAGCCCAAGTTGAGTCTCGAGTCCCCAGTATTCGAATCTGAGTCACCAAAGAAAAGTCTGAGTTGAGTCTGAGTCGAGTCCCTGTTACCCGAGTCCTAGTCATCAAGATCCACATTAAACAGAACTGACACAGCTCTCACCATTTTAGATTCGGAACTCTATTCTGTATTGCATTGTCTTATTGCTGGGCAGTTTGATACATAAAAATTAATTATAGAAAGGCAGAGTGTACGCTTTGACTCAAATGTGCCACTACATCGCGGTGCAGGCGAAGAAGTTTCAATATCTGTATCTTACGTCAAATTAATAGGGCCTATTTAAAAAAGAAAGTTATCGTCTCCAACTTCAGAGTTCGAATTCAGTCAATGTTTGAGTCTGAGTCATCAGTTTTTGTACACAGTGAATTTGTACAGCCTTGAATATGGGTTAGTGTCTTTGCTTTATAGAACTATACTTTAGTGAATTGATTTTGTCTGTAGAAACAACTGATACTTTTATTCTATCTTGATTAAAGTGAAAGTAAAAGAGTTTCTAGAGTTTCTATATAGTAAAGCAACTGGTATTAATACTAATATTAATAAACGTATTACTAAATCATTATCAACAACTTAATAACAATAGTCTGTCCATTTAAAAACGGTTAATTGTGTCCCCGTCACATCCCTTACCCTTCTTCTCTCCTTTTGTCTTTCCAGCCTACAATAAAATACGAGGAGCAGCCAGACTTCGTGACATCGACGGGTGGCACGCTGCATCTGTATCAACTGGAGGGTCTGAACTGGCTGCGGTTTTCTTGGGCTCAGGGCACAGACACCATCCTGGCAGATGAGATGGGCCTGGGCAAGACCATCCAGACCATCGTCTTCCTCTACTCGCTATTTAAAGAGGTAGTGGAGCTGCTGAATTCTGTTACTGTGGCGTTCTACACCCCGGTGAATGCTGAGACTGAAGCAACGTGCGTATTTTCTGCTCTCTGTCCTTCAGGGTCACACTAAGGGCCCGTTCCTGGTCAGCGCTCCGCTTTCCACTATCATCAACTGGGAGAGGGAGTTTGAGATGTGGGCGCCTGACTTCTATGTGGTGACATACACGGGAGACAAGGATAGTCGAGCCATCATCCGAGAGAACGAGTTCTCCTTCGACGACACCGCTGTCAAGGGAGGAAAGAAGGCTTTTAAAATGAGGGTGAGGAAGAGGGGAGGGCAGGAAAGTAAAGAAGCCACAATTAGGTATGAGTAGGAAGAAAGATCAAAGCAATAAGCCAACAGAAACATTAACAACTGTAATGTAAGTAAACAGTGATTTAAAATGCCACCTCCCCCTTACCCCCTTGTTGCTCTTCTCCTGTCAGAGAGAGGCTCCTATTAAATTCCACGTCCTGCTAACCTCCTACGAGTTGGTGACCATCGACCAGACGGCGCTCAAATCCATTGACTGGGCCTGCCTGGTGGTGGACGAGGCTCACCGCCTCAAGAACAACCAGTCCAAGGTACAATACCTAGTGTGTGTGTCAGTGTTACTTTAGTTTAACTTAGGACCCAGCTGAAAACAGCATTTGGTTTGTAAAGAGTTGTGACCAAGATATGTACGATGTGAGACATTGTACTGTTGAAAACTGAGCTTTGTAGGACTCTGTTTTTTTCTAAATTAACTGTAGTATGTTAAACACATGTTTTGCACGTGTGAGAAGCTAAAGCGGGCCAGTGAAATCAGCCATGCTTATGTGTTACAGATGATGACCAGTGAATAGTAACTCTGACAATAACTACACCACTGAATTCCTGAATAGTGACTTAGTATTGTCTGATGATCACCTTTATATCCTATGGCAAATAATAATTATAAATAATATACTGTATATTATTGTTAAAATGTACATAAAATAATGTCAGCTCTATGACAGGGAGTTTAATGTTTTCTCATCTTTACATGCAGTTTTTCAGGCGTCTGAATGACTATAAGATTGACCACAAGCTGCTACTGACAGGAACTCCCCTTCAGAACAACCTGGAGGAGCTGTTTCATCTGCTCAACTTCCTCACACCCAACCGCTTCAAGTACGACGTCTGCCACATTTGTTTTTTCCTGGTTCTCTTCCAGTTGTCTTAACAAATGTGTTATTACATAGAATAGGGTTTATAACTAGTCAAAATCAGATAATATGTTGTGTATATAAACCAACAAAACAGTATTAGCAGTGGAACCTAAGTTTTGCTGAAGACAGCTTTTACTAGTCCTTCACCCGGTCCCTCTCTCTGTGCAGCAATCTTGAAGGCTTCCTGGAAGAATTTGCCGACATCTCCAAGGAGGACCAGATCAAGAAGCTCCACGATCTTCTAGGGCCTCACATGCTGCGGAGGCTGAAGGCTGATGTTTTCAAGAACATGCCCGCCAAGACTGAGCTGATTGTCCGAGTGGAGCTGAGCCCTATGCAGAAGTACGATGCGGTGGAGTGTTGAGGGGGAATGTGGACACTTTTAAATAGCCTGCTCTGGTTGTGGACAAATCTAGGAGACTTTGTTCTGTACTGCTGCCTCACTGACTGGCCTAGAAATTCTTAAACAAGTCACTGATTGTCAGTGGTCAACAGTGGAGGGCTGTAAATTGCCAGCAAGCGTGATTTGGTTTTTTGCAGGCCAAAATAGCCTGACATTTGTCCAGACTGGGCAAGATTTGATTGAAAAGTAAGAGGTCAAGATTGCAACAGTAGTGACTATATTTGAATGTTTGTCAGATTTATTGTAGGACCTGGTTCGTGATGTTCTGGGTTTTTTTTTAAAGCCAAATGGCTGATCTGCTAGCTACACATTTTCCATGGAAGTCCTGCATTCAACACTTTGTAAATTGGCAACTGAAAAAAAGCATTGCTATAAAAATCCCCCTTTTTTTCCAGCAATTAATGCTTAAAAGGGATTCATACAGTAGCAGCCAGACAATCTGTGTATATCATTTTTAGTCTTATTAATTTTATATTATACATTATATTGTTAATCTAACCTGCAATGTTGAATTAGCAACATCAAGTGAAAACTAACTCTCCAGAGTGAACAACAAAAAGGATATTTATCTTTGTTTTACATGTGGTTTACAATAAATAGGTGGAGCACTTAGTTTATCAATTTGTCATTCTGTTTTTTGCAACAGGAAATACTACAAGCTGATTCTGACCAAGAACTTTGAGGCTCTGAACTCGAAAGGCGGAGGAAACCAGGTCTCCCTGCTCAACATCATGATGGACCTAAAGAAGTGCTGCAACCACCCCTATCTCTTCCCTGTTGCCTCCATGGTGAGAAGAGACAAACAGATTGTGAATGCTAAACTCAAAACAGTCCACCTTTTGTGTGATAATACAGGAAGTTCAAAGTCTCCAATCTTTGATAGTATTTTACTTCTTTTACTTTGAATCACTTTCAAAGTGCATGACAATGACACCTTGTGGTGATGTGAGGTAATGCTTTTACACCATGTTTGTACTTTTAAATTGTAGTATATGTTGTGTTATTATTTATTATTATGAGACACTACATAATTCCTTAATTTGTCATCAGAGCAGCAAGTACAAGAATTGCTGTCAATTTATACATAAAGGCTTGTATGTTGTGTACTGTTATTTATCTTGTGGGATTGTGTTTGTAGGAAGCCCAGAAAACACCCAGCGGTGCTTATGAGGGCTCGGCTCTCACTAAGGCTTCTGGGAAACTGATGCTGTTACAGAAGATGCTGAGGAAACTGAAAGAGCAGGGGCATCGAGTACTGGTTTTCTCACAGGTACACACTCACACAAGCACATATACAGTATGCATAAGTGCAGACAAGTATACCCTGACAGATGTTGTATTAGCTAGATGCCACCTCCAGAAGGCTCAACAACAAACTGTAATTCCAGCTGTAAGCGTGTGCAGTGAAGTGTAGTTGAAAACATCCACACATCACCAGCTGCCTCTCTCCTCTGTTTGCAGATGACTAAAATGCTGGATTTATTAGAAGATTTCCTGGACTATGAAGGTTATAAGTATGAGAGAATTGATGGAGCCATCACAGGAGCGCTGAGACAGGAGGCCATCGACCGCTTTAATGGTGAGATACTGGAAGATGTGCAGTAAGTTGCCCTTGACCTCTGGTGGTGACTAGTAGAAAGGTCATTGCCATCTGTTACGAATTGTGCATTCTTTTTTTGTGTAGAATTAACAGACATATTAAAAATGCAAAAAGATCCAGGCATAGGAAGTTTGCTAATGAAAAGGTAACATGTCACAATACAAAATACTGTATAATACTGAATTGCTTTTTGAGAACAAGACTGTTTTTTTTGGCTTCCTAGCTGGATGATTCATGGTTCATAGTAGGAGGCGGGTGGTAGGATTATACATAGTGTGACACGTTATTACTTTGCCTACTGTCAGAGATTTTGTTATGCTGATGATACTGTAAATATGTGAAGCTATTAATCAACATGGAAATATTACATTTTTGCATGACTTTAGAAGCAACGCCATATTACCGCCACAACAATAAAATAAGTTACTGGTATCAGTGGGATTTATTTTATTGACCACCGGTGTGTGTGTGTCTCTCTCTCTCTGTGTGTGTGTGTGTTTCCAGCTCCTGGTGCTTGTCAGTTTTGTTTCCTGCTCTCCACCAGAGCGGGAGGTTTGGGAATCAACTTGGCCACAGCCGACACGGTCATCATCTTCGACTCTGACTGGAACCCTCACAATGACATACAGGTACTGTGAGGCTGATATGAAGGGACTGATTGCCTACTTTGTAAACTTCCTTGTAAATGTTTTGGTTGTATTCGGTCTCTGGCTTTATCTCTCTCCAAACAGGCATTTAGTCGAGCCCACCGAATCGGACAGGCCAACAAGGTGATGATCTACCGCTTTGTGACGCGAGCTAGCGTGGAGGAGCGCATCACACAGGTGGCCAAGAGGAAGATGATGCTAACCCACCTGGTGGTTCGGCCAGGCCTGGGATCCAAAGCCGGATCCATGACCAAACAGGAATTGGATGACATCCTCAAGTTTGGAACAGAAGAGCTCTTCAAGGACGAGGGAGAAGGTGACAACAACTATTGTTCAGTGTGAAAATTGTAGCTGCACTGGATGTTTTTGTTAAACTAAATCCAAGTTTTCAGTAAAATATAATAAGGGGTTTTTGGTCAAAATTGAGGTGAGACTGAACCTAATGGGGAAGAGTTGGCAGGCTTCTTTTCCTACATGAAATTATTCTGTCAAACACATTCACGTAATGCTCTTTCAGCCCGACAGTTTCAGCCACAGGAGACGCAGGCTTAGTCTAGTTTTACTGACTATATAATTGGTGGACAAGAAAAATGTTATTTGCACAATTTGTCTGGAAGAACAGGACAAATTATTTGAACTTTTTACACCACATGTTCCAGGTATGAAGAATAGTTCGGGGGATAAAGTTGAGGATGAGGGCAACGTGATCCACTACGACAGCACTGCCATCGAGAGGCTGCTGGACCGAAGCCAAGACGCCACAGATGACACAGACGTCCAGAACATGAACGAGTACCTGAGCTCCTTTAAAGTGGCCCAGTACATGGTCCGAGAGGAGGATAAGGTGAGAGGGAGCAGGAGAACAGGAGAGGGAGCAGGAGAACTCGAGAGAAACCACAAGCTTGTTGTTATTTGTTTTGTGTTTTATTATTTCTACTTAATAAAATTTGAAATACATATGGACCTTCAGGTAGTGTCATCAAGCAGATCTTCACTGGTGAAGAAGCTGAAACAGTTAGCGAATGATTCATGTAATCAGCCCCCAGAATGTCACTTTATACAAACTGTTTTGTGGGCACTGATACCAGAGTGGTTTCAGTGGTGCACTATGCCTGCACAACGTCAGCGGTTTGAATCTCGGTCCCCTGTTTCCTTTTCACCTCTCCATGACCCACTGACAAAATGTAGGCAAAATGCCCAAAAATAACTTAAATGATTTTCATAATGAATTAATCATGCAATAATTCTAGTAATTATTGGTTCCAGCTTTTCCATTTTGGCCACAGGGGAGACAGGCTTATTCTAGTTTTTCAGGTGAAATAATTGGTTGACAAGAAAGGAAACTTGTGTGATTTTCTGCTTTTCTTTTTCTGTGGTACCGATCTGAGCATTTGGGGTTTTTGGACTGTGGGTCAGATAAAAAACAGGCATTTTGACGATGTCAGCTTGGGCTTCTGGAAAATATGAGGGTTAATTTGCTGTCTACTGAAATTTTACGAAGCAAATGATTAATCGGTTAATCAAGAAAACAGTCAGCTGATTGTTCCAAGGTCAAACACATTTTTGTGAACAAATGCACAATCAGAATCTGTGAGCAAGTTTCCTCAGGTATCTTGAACTTTTAGCACTCTGACCTGAGTGAAATTTTTGCAGAAATAACACAGACAGCCTCGCTTTAACGGATCAGCTGTAAAACCTCCATCTTTTTATGCTCCAGATCGAGGAGATCGAGCGGGAAATCATCAAACAGGAAGAGAACGTGGATCCTGATTACTGGGAGAAACTGCTGCGGCATCACTATGAGCAGCAACAAGAGGACCTGGCGAGCAAACTGGGTAAAGGCAAGAGGAACCGCAAGCCTGTCAACTACAATGATGCTGCACAGGAAGACCAAGGTAGAGACTGGGTTTGGATCTGGTACTGTTTGAACCGGTGGAACCTGTTTCATGTCAGTGACACCACAGTATCATATTAGCAGTACAAGAGAACCTTAAGCTTCAGTATGTTTTATTTATTGTTAAGATTTATTACTTTATTCTTATGATCTCAGTAGAAAAAAGAAAGATGATACGCCTTCTGTTTGAGTTATTGCTAACACAGTGAACGTAGATGGGCCTGGCCCACTGACAGACCGCCATGTGATGTTGCAGAGTGGCATGCTGACATCTCAGATAACCAGTCTGAATACTCGGTGGGCTCTGAGGAGGAGGATGAGGACTTTGACGATCGGCCAGAAGGTAAGGAGAGATTTAATAAAAGAGAGACATCAAGCAGAGCAGCTCATGAGCAATGAAATATGCCTGTTGTAACACACACACACTCAGGTCTGTGTTGAATTAGGGTCTGAAATTGATTTAGTTGTTATAGTTGCCTGGCAGAGTCAAAAGTCAGATTGCCAAAAATGCAAACCACCATCCACCTCCTACTTCAGTGAATTAAAGGAAAATGCTCCGAGCATTTCAGAAGTTTTTGATTTGTTGTTGATGCAGGTCTATTAACTGTGAATTCTGAGAAAACTCCGCCAAGTCTGCAGAATGCAAGGAACCCGAAACAAACATTAAATCAACGATCTGCTCTTACATTACTCCTCTGTGTATTGATAAAATAGTTCCCTTGCCTGCTTCTATCTACAGGGCGAAGGCAGTCACGTCGCCAGTTGAGGAATGAGAAGGATAAACCTCTGCCTCCCCTTCTGGCCAGAGTTGGAGGCAACCTTGAGGTCTGTACTATATATCTCTCTGGAACCAGTTCTGCTTTTATTATGGGCACATTTTATTGTGATATCACTGGAATCTGTCAGCTTTTATTTAAAGTAAACTTGCACTGTTAGCTATTTTTTTCATAATCTTAAATTGGAAATGGCAGCAAAGCGGTTATATCTCCAACAGCTTCAACCCTTCCAGGCTCATTTATCATCCTGACAATTGTGGAGGTGATTAGAATGGCTTGTGGTGTTCAAGCTAGGATTCAAAGATTATTTTAGCATTGTTAGGCAGTCACACCTATTCATTTTAAGAAGTTTAACAAAGTTTTCTCATTCTAACATTTTTATTTGGACTCTTCCAGAGTAATAATAATAGACAGATACATTTTAACAGGCAGCACTATTTCTGCTGTCCAGACTGTGTCATTTTCACTCAGGAACAGTCCATAATATACAGTAATTTCCATCAATAGGTGCTGGGTTTTAACACACGTCAGCGAAAGGCTTTCCTGAACGCTGTGATGCGCTGGGGGATGCCCTCGCAGGACGCTTTCTCCTCTCAGTGGCTGGTCAGAGACCTCAGGGGCAAGACCGAGAAAGAGTTCAAGTAGGTAACATATATTATGAAAGACATCAGTCAGAACTGTTCCGATGTAAGCCGCCTCCAATTCCATCCATCTTTTAATCACACATCTTTGTCCTCCTCTTTTTTGCCAGAGCTTATGTGTCTCTCTTCATGCGTCACTTGTGTGAACCGGTGGCCGACGGTGCCGAGACATTCGCAGATGGCGTCCCGAGGGAGGGCTTGTGTCGCCAGCCAGTCCTCACACGAATTGGCGTCATGTCCCTCGTCAAGAAGAAGGTCAGGCCAAAGTTTTTGTCTTGCCTAGGACAAGACAAATGTGGGGAATGAAGCAAGTTCTAACCGTGAAAGTTTAGTCTTGGTTGGCTTTGGTGACACCTGTAGCTGCCATGGTAACAACAGATGTTGTTTCATCCTATAGCAGGCACTTATTGAGCCGGATCCACTGACAAAATAATGCCAGTGTACATGTGTTTTTGATTGGTGACAAGTGTGACAAAAACATTGCATTTCCTGTGACTGCTTCACAATGAAAAACACCTGTGTTTTGCCAGCTAACTGGTTTTCTTGTAAAGCAGCAGGGGGATGAAATGTTAAGTTTGCATTGCTACCAATGTTTGACAGCCCTGGAATAGCTCTAGGTGAGAAATGAAACACAGTAACGCTGCATTGTTTCCTGTGGATTCCCTGTGCTGGTAGGTAGGTGGTTTAAATCTGGCATGAGAATGGCAAACGCCACCACTAACAGTGAAACCTACCATATAGGGAAGTAATTACTGAACGCAGAAACATTTAGTGACTATAGCTGAACATTTACTAGCCATAAATAGAAACAAAAACTCGAAAACAAGGTTTGGTTTCATTAAAATCTTCAGGATTGCAGGTTTAATAGTGTACTCCCATATCAACAGTGTGAAGACAATATTGTTTTAGGTCATAAATAAAATGTCAGGTGTGTTTATATTATCTTCCAGTACAGAAATCAACCATGACATCTTGAAAGATGTGAATGCTCAGTGTGCCAGTTTATTTTAGTTTATCCAAACATCTTCAATCCTGTTTTCAGTCCAACTTGTTTAAACCTGCACACATCCTGATCTGCTATCTGTGCTGGGGGGGTGTATGATATACTGCCAGGAAAACAGGGCATGTGGGTGGTGAGTTTAAATAAGGTGGTATTAGATGAAGTGAATGTGTGCCAAGCTTTTTAATTCTGCTCGGCGGTTGGTGTTTTGTGTTTAGATCCAGGAGTTTGAACACATCAACGGGCGCTGGAGTCTTCCAGAGCTCAAACCTGAGGTCAGCATAGACAAATCCTCCTCCAGGGCCTCCTCTCCTGCACTGAAGACCGCCACGCCTACGCCTGATGCCAGTTACAACAACACACCATGCACCTCCAAGCCAGGTAGCCAAACATCACCCGCTGGTTTGATGTATTACATAGTCACACACACCAGCTCCAACAGGGGGCGCTCCATATAAAGGGCACCAGATTAAGCTGGAGTTGGACCTCCATAAGTGTGTGTGTGTGTGTGTGTGTGTGTGTGTGTTTGTTGTTACTGATGTGTTTATTTGTCTGAATATGTGCAGCCACCCCTGCTCCAGCAGAAAAGCTAGAAAAGAATGGAAGAGAAGGAGAGAAGGAAGAGGACAAAGAGGAAGGTGAGACCCTGTCGGAGAAAGAGACAGTGAAGGAGAAGGAAGAGGTGAAAGAGGTGGACAGCAGCAAGACTGGAGATCTTGAAGAGGTGGGACACTGTCCTCAAAACACAAGACACTCAACAGCTAACACATCTATATTCTGCAGGTCTTTCGGTTTTTGTGGGGCTTGTTTTATATAGTTTTATTTGTATTAACAAGTTGCTCATGTGCTAACACACTACAAACAACAGATACTGTATTTTGCTTTACTGTCAACAGTTTGAAAGGTACCTTATAGTGTTTTTCTTCATTCCGGGCAGACATTGGTTGCTGGTCACACTGCATGGCAGATGGCAGAAACTTCAAAATAAACTTCACTTTCGACTTGATATACAGCTGCACTTTTACACCAAATCATGGACATCAGTGGAAAATAATGGCTGCCTGCAATGTTGGACAGCACAGTCAAAAACACTACAATGAGGTTGTTCATGATGTTAATTAAGTACATGAAGCTAATAAATAAGAGGCTAAAACGCACAGAACTTATTGTGGATTATTACAATAAATGAAAGTGCTGTTCCTTAAAAGCTGGCATTTTAAAGATAACAGGTATTCACCATACAATAGTAAAGTGAAGATCAACTTACTTGGTCCTCTGTCCTTAGCTTTCCTCCTTGATAAAAGAGAAGTCGCAAAGTGTGTCCCCTGGTCAAAAAGCTGAAAGCAAAGAAGAGAGTGACCTGAAAGACGACCAGAAGAAAGAACCAACTGACACTCCTACTGCCATGACTGAGGATAAGAAAGTACAGGAGGAGAGCAAAGAGGAGACAAAACAAGACACAGAGGTCAAAGAGGAGAAATCTGGTAACAGCAAAAGCACAGAAAAGAAACTTTATAAGTCAGTTAGATGAGGTTTGATGCACACAGTCAGTTGAAATAGGCTTGTGTGAAACAATCCAAATTATAATGTGTTTTTTATTCTGCAGAAGGAGAGAAGGCTGGGGAGGAGAAGGAAAAAGACAAAGAAAAGCGCGAAGAGACACTTGCAGCAACAGAAATGACAGATGCCAAGGATAAGACAGAAGTAGCTGACGTCAAGAAAGGTCGGCCTCACTGTCTGTGATATGCTGCCATCAATACGTAGGGACAGTTTTGTGCTTAATACTTTCACTGTCTCCTGATAACAGAGGAAGTCAGAAGTGAAAAGGATGCTGGGAAAGAAGTCAAAGCAGCTAAGGAGGAGTTGCCCAAGGGTAATGGGAAGCCTCTGACTGAGCGACCTCGCTTCATGTTCAACATCGCCGATGGCGGTTTTACTGGTTAGTATGGATTTACCTGCAGTGTATATGGAATAGATTAAACTGACCGATATGGTTCTAAACATTACGTATTTTAAACCTGTATGGCCGGTAAAACAATGACCTTCCCATGGTCAGGTTTTGGTCTGATTTCTCTGGACTTTATTCATCTCTTTTCTCAGCTTCTTTAACGGGACACAGTAAATGTTCTAGATGAAAGATCTAAATACAGTGGACAAAAACAGTGCTGTTATATTGCTTTTACCTTAATATTTCGGGAAAAGACTACAAACTGTACACCAAATTGTGTAAATTATTCTAACACCTAAATAACTGTAGAAAAGATTATTTAAAGATTGAAAAATGACTACAGAAAATACTACAGAATCTCTGAAAGATGGGGAGAGGAAGGTGAAAATGATGTAAAGTTGACCAAACAGGTGGCTCAGCAGTCTAAACAACATAACATTTAGTACTAAAACTACAAACCCCCTTCCTGTTGCTTTCTGTACTAAAGCAGCGCTGAGCCAAAATGATCTCCACCTTAATAATAAACCCCGAAAAGCTCTGTGTGGAGTGGAAACACCTACAGCAGGGTTTCTGCCAACTAAGGACTTTCAGACCAACCTATTTTTTTACCGTGCGCTCCTTCAACCCACAGAGCTGCACACTCTTTGGCAGAATGAAGAGCGGGCTGCCATCTCCTCGGGGAAGATGAACGAGATCTGGCACCGCCGACACGACTTCTGGCTGCTGGCAGGAATCGTGATGTATCCTTGACAGCAGTTGCCCGGGCAATGACCCTGATGTGTTTATTTTTCTGTAAGCCAGCAGAAGCCCAGCATCTACAAGTCCACAAGCTGGCCAGAGCTCAGTAAACAGCAAAATCAGTCTGCTGGGAGCTAAAGTAGTAGGTCAGTTAGTTCATGATGTTGCCTCTATTATTGTAATTAAGGCCATGCAGCAGTCACATAACAGTTTTCATTATTCTATAAGCTAATGCTCCATCCCAAAAGGGGAGAAGTGTGTGTTTCAGAAACTGTCTGAAGCCTATTTTATGGCTTTGAAAAACTGAAAATTTGTATTTCAACAAAATTAAAAAATGAAATAACCTTTTTTGAGATTTTGTGCTAAGCTAACCAACTGCTGGCTATAGTTTCATATTGAACAGGCAGTTATGAAAGTGGCAAAGATCTAAGTAAGAATATGAGGATTACCTAGAATCTCAAACTGTTCATTTTGTTACATATCTTATAAGCTAGGAGGTAGTTATCATATGGTAGCTTAGCACAAAAACATGGAGCAGAAAACGGCACTCTCCAAAATTTAAAGCTAGGCCTACCAACACTTCTTAAGTTCGCAAATTAAAATCTTGTTTATTAAATCCATACATACTGCAGTGCTGAAATGCTGGGCACATGCATAAACTGCTTGTCAGGAAGTACTTTTAGTACTACGCATAAAAAAACCAGTAAACCAGTAAAACCATATATTCTTTTTTAAAAATATTTGTATTTGTGTACAAAGTAAGCAAGAATGAACATGTTAATTAGTGAGTGTGCTGACAGACAGTTTGGAGAGAGCCGGGCTAGCTGTCTGCACCTTCTTCAAGTATTTATGCTAAGCTAGGCTAATTGTCTCTCAGGTCCAGTTCCAAAGTTCACGCACATACAGTACATAAGAGCAGTATTAATCCTTTGTATTATTTTTAAGAAATAACCATATTTTCAAAAGGTTTAAATATTTTTGGAGTAAATTTTGATGTGGCTAATCACTTCTGAGTGCACAAAGAACCTTTCCAGATTAGCTTCACAGTAATGTTACTTTTCTGAAGTTGGGTAGGGAAGATGGTCCACTCAGTGCGGCTTCACACTGTCTCTTAATGAATCACAACCCTTGACTCCTGTGCCAGCCACGGCTATGCTCGGTGGCAGGACATCCAGAATGATCCTCAGTTCGCCATCGTCAATGAGCCTTTCAAGTCTCAGGCGAATAAAGGCAACTTCCTGGAGATGAAGAACAAGTTTCTGGCTCGACGCTTCAAGGTAACACATACTAGCTAAAGCTTCATCTTAACTCTTTGTAGTACAAACACATCAGATTTATATGTAATTTAGCTTTTTGTTTCAGTAACAAAATACCTTTTCCAGTGACTTTCTTTGAGAAACATATTTTTACAAAGGTGCCAACATTCCCAAGCATTAAATATAAGAACTTTTCCCAAATAAAACAATTGGTAAAATTTTGATTTAAATCAGAAAATTAAGACTGTGAAGAACTTTGTGTACTTGGCAGTCATTCATATACATTTCATTTGCTATCCAACCGTCTCTAAGTTCAATTCCCAGCCATGCAAACTATTTTAGTAACATTTTTCACTGTCTTCGATCACCTGACTTCTTTGATGGTCAGATGACAGATGCCCCTAGACCCACATTTTGGCTGGATGGCACTGCTGACCGCTGCATTTCTGGAAAAGCTCTCATCCTGTTTTTGACCAGCTCACATGTTTGACCAGCTCAACATCCTCATTTACTGTATCTCTTTCTCTGTGTCTTTCTTTGTTTCTTGTTACCTCTCTTGCTAGATTATTTTGACAACCTGACGCCAAGAATGCACTCAAAATAGGATTTCACACCAATTTCCCTTCAGTATGTTTTACCTGTAATTGGTTGTGTAACATGATGACTTCTCTTGCAACATGTTTACACATTTTCCAGAGCACACACGCGGACACACACCCAAATGATTTACTGGATGAAGTTGGGTTTCCCATGAAATGGTTGCATTACTGTCGCTATGCCAACTAGAACACAATATGGTCTAATATATGCTGACAAACAACAGATAAAGATAGACTGAAGGTAATTTTAGAAGTTAATCACTGAGCCAGCCTTCCTTTTTTATTTCTAAAAAAGATTTATTTCAGGCTCACCTTTGTTAAGGTGAAGAAAGCTTTCTGAAGTTTCTGAAGGCATAGACATAATAAATCTATGGGACTGTAGTCATTTTGTGAGAACACTAATAGACATGGGTGTCATCTTCGTAGCTATGATAAGCAGTCCTATAGTCTTGGATAATTCAAAGAAGAGGACGCATGTACAGGATGAATAGGAGGGGACCAAGATCAGATCCCTGTGGGATTCCATACATCATGGCCATTCTTTCAGATTCATAATTACTGATACTGACTACATAACCCGTGCCTTGATCTGGGGACCATACCTCAGAAAATAATTATATTACCATCAGTCTTTCATTTGCTTTTTCTTTCTTTTCTTCTTTCTAGGCAAGATTTTTGTGTAAAAGAAAATACACATACTAAACCAATCAGAATAAATAGAAACAGGAGGTTGTGAACATACAAATGGAGAAGTAGATTATGGATTAGGAATTAATTATAGTTACATTGGACATTAATACATTTCTTTCAGTATTTTCTTCTTTCTTTTTGTGACTCCACCCCTCCTGTCCCCCTGCCCTCCAGCTGTTGGAGCAGGCACTAGTGATAGAGGAGCAGCTTCGACGGGCAGCCTACCTGAACATGACCCAGGACCCGAGCCACCCAGCCATGGCGCTCAATGCACGCTTTTCTGAGGTGGAGTGCCTGGCAGAGTCACACCAGCACCTCAGCAAGGAGTCGCTAGCAGGGAACAAGCCAGCCAACGCAGTACTGCATAAAGGTCAGGGTCACTGGGGTGATGCTAATCATTCACAGAGACAGAGGGAAATAGAGAAGGTGGGAGTGATTGGCAGGCAGATAATCGCAGATGCACAATGAAAGAGAGATGCACATCATCAACACAAGCGCTATTGTGCAATCTCCACGTTTCCTGCAGCAGCAACCATATCACTCTGCCTGGAGCGGCCTCCAGTAAAGTCAAGCAGATAAGCTTACACAGTGTTAAATGATAGTTCCAAACATTTCCTCACTGCCTGACTTGCAAGTCTGTCCATGTTTACATTGTTCTGTTGAAAGGATAAGATGCTCAGTACTTTACTGTTCTTGTTCTCATCTTTGATTTCTGCACATAACAGCAAGTTAATGAAGCCACAGGAATATTTTTATCAACTTGCAAAGCTACACCAGCAGTTAGTAATCAGTGAATAATTCCATGTAGAGATGGGCTGACAGAGTGGAAAGATAATGAAGGATGGGAAGTTTCTTGTAAAAATATAATAAGCAAATGGTGTTTACAAACTCTGGGGGCCTTTTTTTTTTAAGTTAAGATTTATAAACTGTTTATAATGTTTAGACCCAATAAATTTAACTTCATAAAAATGTTTGAAAGACTCTGAAGAGCTTTTTAACTTTTTACTCCTTTAGTTTGACTTGTACTGACACTTGTACAAATATTTCATTTCATGTCGAGTAAGCTCCAGCTCCTGTGGTCTGACCTTAAGAAGCACACAAAAATCAGAATAAAACTGGAAGTAATTATTAAGAGGCCCAAAAGAAAGATAAAAAGAAAACTACCAGGTCTTTTCTCCTCTAAGTCAGTAGTTGTTGATGTTTGTTGTTGTCACTGCAGTGTTGAACCAGTTGGAGGAGCTGCTTAGCGACATGAAGGCTGATGTGACCCGACTACCGGCCACGCTGTCCAGAGTCCCACCCATCACCGCCCGCCTGCAAATGTCCGAGAGGAGTATCCTCAGTCGGCTGGCCAGCAAGGGCACTGAGACCCCCCCCCCCCCAGTCAGCAGCCTGCTTTTAAACACAACACACACATACAATTGAACACAAACTTTAACAGCTGCAAGTTGAAATCTGTTCAAGCTGCTTGTGCTCAGTGGAAAAATAATAGATGGAGGACAGCCAATGAAAATACAGAGCCCATTATCTTGTCACCCACCTGTGCTTTTTGCACCACAGCTACTTAGTTCAGGAAATTGTTTTTGTCAGCTTACATAACTTAAAAGTGGTTTGTCTTATTTTCCTCATTGTCATGTCTTGATGTAATTAATTCCTAAAAAAGGCTTCTTTTCTTTGTACAGCCCATACCTCCAGGACCTTACACCACCCCTCAGAACTACGGAGCCCCCTTCACCCCTGCCCCACCGAGTGCCCTCCACATGGGAGGGGCCAACTACAGTCAGATGCCACCCGGATCCTTCATATCAGGTCAGTCTTTGAAGTTCCACTGACATCTGACTCCTGTAAACGTTGGCATGGTCAAAAGCTGGATCATCATTACAAATTTTCATTGTGCAGAGAGTCAGGGGTTATAAATATTTCAGCTATGTCAGGCTGAAGTACAGGGAATGTACAAACACAATTCCCTAGATATGCGGAATCTTTCATTTTATCAAAAGATGCAGCAAAAAAAGGCTTTAATATTTAACATATGCTTTTGATTTGAAGAGCTATCCCAAGCAAGCTCAAATAAGTGCTGTTTTGCATGGAAAAGTATTTTGTTTTACTTTGAAGCAACTTAAGGGGTAAGATAAGCAGAACTGCAGCATTAATCTTCATCTACCAGTGCAAATGCTCCGTCTGTGGAGCTGTGAGTGTGAGAAAAAGAGGTGAATGTGTTACAGTCAGCAGTAATAAAAACCATAAGGTAATGATAGCATTCAAGGTAATTTACAGAAAAAGAATACTGGTTTTGTTTGATCAGTTGACACTTGGCAAGCTGGTGATGTAAGCCAGATTTTATGCTTCTTTGCAGAGGTGTCATTGCAGTTTCACTGTAGCTGCCTTTGGCACAGGAACTGATTCATACTATAGTTCAATGGGAATTTAACCTGTTGATTGTTGTAGACTAGACAGTAAACAGTAGGTTTAGTACATTATAAGGCTATGTTGTGCTTTCTGTGTGTACTTGGAAGGAAATCCTTGTGCATTCTTTGAATAATGCGTAATATGGGGTGAACCTGAAATGACTTTCCTAGGTAGAGCATAAAATACTACATTTGTCAAAATAATCAGATTTAAAGGGAAACGCCACCCATTTTACCAGTGAATTGTGGTTCGTTCTCTATTAGGTCAACAGTGTATAAACCGTTGTGGAATGTCTTTTATGGCTTTGGAGGAGAAAGTAACCCTCATGATGTCATGGTGATGTCAATTGGACTATCTCAGCTTGGACTCGGAGGCGTAATATTTATAACAAAAGTCCGAGCTGCAAACCTGTGTGGAGTTTGAAAGACAAAACTCTGGCATTTACCAAAAGCTGATGGGTTTTTGGACTGCGAGGGGTTAAATCCAGGATATCTCACACTGTGCTGCATCGATTTTGATCAAATTTGATTGTTCTTATTTTAGTGCCCATCTCATAGTCACAGTGAAGCTTAATTTGGAACATTTTTATCTTCAGTAATGTGACATAGGTCCAAATGAAACAGAAGTGTGTGCGGGGTTTAGTTCTTCAAAGGGATTTAGATCATTGCAGTAAGAAGGTTTGCAGCCAAATACATTTTTCACTGTATCACAGAATGTATATTTGTGTTGTGTTTCTGAAAAGGAAATTTTAATGGCTGCACAGTCAGGTCCAAGACACCCTGACTGAGAAGCACAAATCCAACTTTAGAGATCTGCACTTGATTACTTGGCACTGTGTGCTGATGATGGGCAAAACCAGTCCAAAATACTGCTTCTATTTAAAGATACCATCTGAGGAATTCCTTCTTTATATGGTTATGTTACTGTGGAAAAATATTTGTAAAAGGAAATGAAAAAACGTTCAGGATTCATCAAAATTAGTGACTGTGGGAAATGGAGGTATTTTAGGAAAACGTCTGTGCACTATAGTTAGTTTTCTGATCAAGTCCAGCGTAATTTAACTCTTTAATTTCAATGTAATTGCTAAATGTGTGGTGAAAAGAGCTACTCGATGGCATATAATGGAGGGCTGTTTTAAATACTTGTGGTGGACGCTTTATCTCCCTGTGCAGCTTAAACTGTGTAAGCTTCAAAATCCCGAAAGGAGTCTGTGTCTGAAAAAACCATCTGTAGCAGAGTTTGTGATGCGGCTGCCAGACAGACACCTGAAATAGACATTACCAAAATCAAACACAAACGTGCTGCACTGCTGTCTTAAGGCATTTTTATCTCTTAACACGTCCAACTTCAACACTCGACTCAGCAGTAATAGCACATTGTGCAACAATAAAGCACAGTCTGGGCTATCGAACCTGTCTGAGAAGTATTTTCTTTTACAAGCGTGTTTATTTTCTTTTGTGAATTCCTTGTTATGGCTCTCATTATTTGTGGAGTTCAAAGCTTTAGAATCAAATTCGTAAAAAAAAAGTTCTTGTTTTGGCCCCTTGTCCAACTTCACTCGCCTGCAGTCTGTCAGAACGCACAGCCAGTTTGTGAATTTATTTTTTATAATTAGTTTGGTAACGGCATATGCCTACCAGACACACTCTGCACTCTGCATGTCTGTTCATGTCCGCCGATGTTTGGATAGTAAAGATGGGGCAGAGATAACTGGTAAAACCTGATATTCCCCAATACTTTTGCCCAAAAAAAACCACAACACACAGCTTTCTCAGTGCTGTGCCTGCCTTTCAACTCAGTGTATCATAATTTATGTAATTGCAGACTGAGACATCTGTCAAAAGCATTGCATTTTAGAGAGCCAGAGCCTATCTCTGAAAATGTCATTATGCTCAGCCTGTCTGAGTCTGGCCATGCCAAGAAAACACACATTTTGCACCAAGGTATTTTGAGAGGGACAGAGACCACAGAAGAAGTTAGGTTGTGTAAATGTCATGTTGTGACTTGCGAACTGGGCGGAGGGCTGCGCCCAGTGCTGACTGTTCAGAAATAGTCACAAGCACGTTGTGTTGCTCCGTCCGTTTTTTTGCTTGCGGGGGCCTCGTGGCGAGCAGCTGAGCTGAGAGCAGGCCGAGCCGAGCCGCGTTCATTCTGAACAACCTGAACACATGAGGTGGGGTGAACACATGCAACAACTGGGGCCACGTTTCTGGTTTTGACTGGGGTTGTGCGCTGGTTCCTCTTAAGATTCAGATAGAGAGGAAAAAAGTGAGCAGCAGAAATCGATTGATTTAAAAACACAATCCTCTGATTTTCTGACCTCCTAGCTTCCCTCCACTAACAGCACTCTCCTGGGAGAGTACACAAAGCATGTCCAAAAAGACACATCTACCGTTGCACATCTACTGCTTTAACTGCACTCTGTGAAATCTGCTGCAAAAATGTAATGATCCACCAAATGCTACAGTGAAGAACTCTTTTGTCCTGCCTCTCACATGTTGCAAAATCTCAGCATTTGCTCATTGTCTTGAATCTTTTGAAGTATTCTGGAAAACCTGTTTCAGCCATCAGTACTGCCATGAGGAAGCTGCTCATCTGCACTGAAAGGAGTCCCACATGCTAGATAAAGCTTCACCTTTTAGAGGGGTAGATATTAGAGCGATGGAGTCGAGCACATGAGTTCAGGCTCTCATGTGTGCAAGCACCTGCCCTGCTGAAGTGTCCTTGAGCAGAACCCTGATCCCTGGCCAGCTCTAGTAGCACCCCCTGTTCTCTGGCCTCCCTGTAGAGGAGGGAAGCAAGCTAAAAGGGAATTAAAGTGTCACATTATCCTGCTCCCCTCTCCGAGTCTCCACTACAGTCTGCCGCTTGTCTGCCCCCACAGAAGCCGCTGCTGCTGCTGGGGCCACCGGGGGAACTGCTGGGGGAGCCGCTGGAGGACCAACCACTACCATTGTTTGCCAGAAGACCAAGGAACATGATGTGGTGCAGCGGCAGCGCGTGGTGGACCTCTGGAAGGATGGCAAGTCAGAGGGCGCCATTGGGCTGGAGCTGAGGATGCCCAAGTCCACGGTGCACAGCATCATCGTGAAGTACCGGCTCAGCAACACGGTGGAGAACCTGCCACGCAATGGGCGGCCAAAGAAACCCTGAGGTCGGAGGAGGACGCTCACCAAGGGGGAAGAAGAAAGGACATTTGGATAAAGCATCCTGGAATGTAACCAAAACGAACTGAGAAGGAGAGATGAAAACCTGAATGCATGAGCTAAAAGTCCCAGAAGGCCCCGAGCTCTTTGGCACTGCCTGAAAGTGACAAACAGAAAGACTTAAGTAAAGCTCACTGGATGGTTCGAATAGGCAAGAGAGCAAAAGAGAAAGAACTCAAAAGAACTGTTAGCACTTTGATCCATTAAAGAAAACATGCAATCGACCACAGAGCGAGGAGAGGAGAGAGTTCAAAATTACAAAGGGAGAGGTAAAATGCCGGCCTTGAGATCAGGCACTAATGATGCGTGGGTGGAAAATGAAGCACAGAGGGAGGAAAAAAAAGAGATATGACCTGTCTGGAATAAAACAAATCCTCAAGCAAAGAAAGAAGGCACTATTGAAATAAGCCCAAAATTTTGATTTGAGAGGAGAGATGTCTGGACTGAAGAAGGAGGGGGGGGAAAGGACACTATGTGAATCCAATCACAGGAAGTCGCATATGAAATGCAACACAGGAGGATTTTTCCCTCCCAGATAGATTATTCTAGACTACTTTGTCTGTTTCTCCCTCTGCACCAAAAAAAGATTTCCCCTCACATCAATTCTTCAGCCGTCAGCTGACTGAACAAGCCTATCCCCTCGCTCTGACCCTGTACTCCCTCATTCCTCCACAGTCCTGCACTCCTCTGCCTCTTTCTCTTTCTCATGCACACACTTGTATACACACTCTAGACCTCACACACAACCTGAAAACCTGCAAAGAAGTTCATCTAGGAAGGGACATGCTGGACTAGGATCGGGTTGCAAAAAAGGAAAGAAAGGCAAAGATGGAAAAAAAAGACTTTTCTAAGTATAAAACTTCCCATGGCCCTCGCATTCCTAAGTTCAACCAAGCATAGGAGCAAAGGACATACATATTTAAAACTTTGCCTTTGTCCAACGATCAGTAGCAATGTTGCTGTGACCCAAGCGGAATGGCTGGTGCTGAGATATGTAGCCTACTGTATTACAAAGCGTATTTACTATTGCACCTTTTTTACATTTCCTGTTTAAATCTCATCACAGTAAAAATCTGTATTTATGAGCAGCTCTTCTCCAAAGCTTGAGACTGTGATCTGTGATTAAAATGGACCTTCACGCTGAGGCTCGAGGAGACGTTTTTGTTCTCTGAGCTTCTTTATTCTGACAGTGTAATGGATTCCACACTGGAAACTGTCCCCTGATCCCCGAGAAAATAAAACACTCTGGACTCTGTCATCGGTTTTCTAACTCAGTGTTTGTACAGCGGAGCTGTAGATCAGTGTGACATCCCAGTGTGGGGAGCAGAACAAACTCTCCTGCCTCAATTCTGGAAAGAGAAGTTACACAGACCAAACTTTTCTGGAACATATGAGTATTTTTAAGCTAAAATTGAGTGGTATTTCCCTTAAGCTTGAAGGACATAAAGACCAGAGAAGTGTGGCCTCCAATGAGCATATATTGTATGTGTGTATACGGTATATGTGTGTGAATGTTTTGTTTTGTACACATTTGTGTGTATGGTAGCACTGCCATTTTTTTTATCAGAACTAGGTATTGTTTAGAACTTTCAATATTGGTGCCAGTATGATGCCTGAGTTTCTTAACAATATGTTTTTATAGAGTTTAGCCTAAATATAACAGCCTACAGTTGGACAGGTTTTAAATTAAAGCTACACTGATCAATATTTGAATATTACTGGATGTGATTATTGGCAGTAATATGAAAGGGGGTGCTCATACTGACAAAGCCACAGGAAATTTTCACCTGACTCTGTAGCTCCCCTCAGCTTTACAGAGTGTTTTAACATTTTTGAGCTCATTGTTTTGGTTTTTGCTGCCTGTAACTTTACTGTTTTGATTCAGTCCTTCTGCTCTCATCCACCTTGTTTAAAGATGCAGGCATCTGTCTTCAGTAAAGAAGCTCTGATAAACTTATAACAATGCTTTCTGCGCAGCACACTGGTGAACCTTCTGGAGCACTTAGCAGCTAATGCTGTTTTCACACTATCCATGTGTAGCCCATTTGAATTGAACCCTTTCCTGGATGTGGCCTTGGTGCGGTTCCAAATGAGCTCTTGAGCCATTCGACTGTGGTGTGAACGTGATCCGACCTCGATCTGGACC